GCCTTGGAGATTGTAAGGATACAGAATGGGACTGAGAGGCACTGTTTTGGGGGTGATTTGAGCACTGGAGAATTGCAAACCTGGGTTCAAGTCCCCACTCAGCCATGGAAACCCACTGAGACAGGCAGAAGAAATGGCAATTTCTGGTCAAAGCCCCTCTGAACAAACCTTGCAAAGACACAAATTCTGCAAAATAAGCTGAAACAGAACAACAGCTCCGCTTCAAGAAGCTCTTTAGAAGCTTTTGCACAAAGTTCAGGGGCCAAGAAGAAGCCACACAGCCTGGGCGACAAGGCGCCTTTGAGTGCGAAGGAGGTGACAGGCGAGCAGCAACGTTTTCCCCGCCTGCTCTACGTCCTCTTGACCAAAGCTCTTGACCAGTGTTTCTCCACCTTCCTAATGTCGCGACCCCTTAATACAGCACCTCACGTTGTGGTGACCCCCAACCATAAGATAATGATCGTTGCTACTTCCTAACAGTAATTGTGTTACTGTTATGAATCATAATGAAGATATCTGAAATGCAAGATGAATTTCCATTCACTAGACCAAATTTGGCACAAATACCCAATAACGGAGCTCCATGCAGTCATGCCGGCCTTGGAGGTGTCTATGGACAACACCAGCTCTTCGGCCTAGAAATTGAGCACCAACCCCCAGTCTTGGACTTAATGTCAGGGGAAAACTTTTACCTTACCCTACCCAATATGCCAAATTACAATACTGGTGGGGGAGAATGGATTTTCTCATTTGGCCTTGAGTTTTGGAGTTGTAGTTCATCTGCATCCAGAGAGTACTGTAGACTCAAACAATGATAGATCTGGATCAAACTTGGCACGGACACTCAATATGCCCAAATGTGAACATTGGTGGAATTTGGGAAAAATAGATTTTGACATTTGGGAGTTGTACTAGTAGCTGGGATTTATAGTTTACCTATAATCAAAGAGCATTCTGAACTCCACCAATGATGGAATTGAACAAAACCTGGCGCACAGAACTCCCATGACCAAGAGAAAATACTGGAAGTATTTGGTAGGCATTGACCTTGAATTTGGGAGTTGTAGTTCACCTGCATCCAGAGAGCACTGCGGACTCAAACAGTGATGGATCTGGACCAAACTTGGCACAAATACTCAATATTCCCAAATGTGAACACTGGTGGAATTTGGGAAAAATAGATCTTGACATTTGGGAGTTGTACTAGTTGCTGGGATTTATAGTTCACCTACAATCAAAGAGCGCTCTGAATCACACCACCGATAGAAATGGGCCAAACGTCCCACACAGAACCCCCATATCCAACAGAAAATACTGGAGGGATTTTGGATGAACTGACAGTGATTTAGGGGAGATGTAGTTCACCTTCATCTAGAGAGCACTGTGAACCCAAACGACTATGCCAAAGGGGTTCTTAAGACCATCGGAAATATGTGTTTTCTTATGGTCTTTGGCGACCCCTCTGACACCCCCTTGCGACCCCCTCAGGGGTCCCAACCCACAGGTTGAGAAACACTGCTCTTGACCATCTCACGCTTGCACCGCGTTGCCAATGGTGCTTGGTGAATGAAACCTTCTCGCTCACATTTGTTAATGGGTTCCGTTTTGTTTTTAATCTGTTTGCCTTTGCCACCTCATTATTTCCTTTGCATGCAATTATTTCCTTGCCAAACAATACGGGAGACAAATTGCAACAGACTCCTCCAGCAGATTTCTAACCCAAGGTAAAAATAAACAGAAACATCTGTAAAGCAATCTTGTTCAAAGCCACGCTTATTAATAAATACATCTTCCTAATAAAACGCCATCTGTGAGGAAACCTCCGCGCTTCCACTTCATCTAAACGGGCCTGTTTTCAGGCGGTTTTCAGACGCTCTTCCCGGAAAACGATGATGATGCAAAACACACCCGTCTTTGTTGCACCCGGGAAGGCTCATAAATCACGGCAAGGGATTTCTTCCTGTTGCTCATCTTTAAAGCCGTCCAGAAAATGATCGGCTCAAAACAATTATTCTAAAACAGTGTTTCTCAACCTGGGGGTCGGGACCCCTGGAGGGGTCGCGAAGGGGTGTCAGAGGAGTCGCCAAAGACCATCAGAAAACACAGTATTTTCTATTGGTCATGGGAGTTCTGTGTGGGAAGTTTGGCCCAATTCTATCATTGGTGGGGTTCAGAACGCTCCTTGATTGTAGGAGAACTATAAATCCCAGCAAGTACAACTCCCAAATCTCAAGGTCTATTTTCCCAAAACCCCACAAGTGTTTACATTTGGGCATATGGAGTATCCGTGCCAAGTTTGGTCCAGATCCATCAATGTTTGAGCCCACAGTGCTCTCTGGATTTAGGTGAACTACAATTCCAGAACTCAAGGTCAATGCCCACCAAACCCTTCCAGTATTTTCTGTTGGTCATGGGAGTTCTGTGTGCCAACTTTGGTTCAATTCCATTGTTGGTGGGGTTCAGAATGCTCTTTGTTTACAGGTTAACTATAAATCCCAGCAACTACAACTCCCAAATGGCAAAATCAATCCCCCCGCCAACCCCACCAGTATTCAAATTTGGGCCAAATTTACTCCAGTGAATGAAAATACATCCTGCAGATCATTATTTACATGGCGATTCATAATGTGAGGGTTATGGTTGGGGGTCACCACAACATGAGGAACTGTATTAAGGGGTCGCGGCATTAGGAAGGTTGAGAAACACTCTTCTAAAAGGAAGGAGAAAAGGCTATTTTCGTGTGAGAGAATTGGCCGTCTGCAAGGATGTTGCCCAGGAGACATTGCCCAGGTGTTTGATGTTTTACCATCTCTTGTCCTTGTATGGGGAGCTGGAGCTGACAGTTGGGAGCTCAACCCACTGACCTCTCAGTCAGCCGTCCTGCCGGCACAATGGTTTAACCCATTGTATTGTCGAAGGCTTTCATGGCTGGAATCACTAGGTTCTTGTGGTTTTTTCGGGCTATATGGCCATGTTCTAGAGGCATTCTCTCCTGACGTTTCGCCTGCATCTATGGCAAGCATCCTCAGAGGTAGTGAGGTCTGTTGGAACTAAGAAAATGGGTTTATATATCTGTGGAATGGCTGGGGTGGGGCAAAGAGCTCTTCTCTGCTGGAGCTGGGTGTGAATGTTTCAACTGACCACCTTCATTAGCATTTGAAGGCCTGGCTGAGCCTGGGGGAATCTTTTGTTGAGAGGTGTTAAGATGTGCCTGGTTGTTTCCTCTCTGCTGTTTTCTGTTGTAATTTTAGCAAATATGAAATACTGGTAGCCAGATTTTGTTCATTTTCATGGTTTCCTTTCTGTTGAAATTGTCCACATGCTTGTGGATTTCAATGGCTTCTCTGTGTAGTCTGACATGGTGGTTGTGAGAGTGGTCCAGCATTTCTGTGTTCTCAAATAATATAATATGCAATAATAAATTACAACAGCAAAACAGCAGAGAGGAAACAACGAGATGCAGAGCCAATCTTAAGAAATGGGGCCCTTCTCAGCCCCCAGCCAACTTAGGGCGGTTTACAGAGGCAACCATTCAATGCCCAAAAACACCATAAAACATTGTAAAACATTACTACATGAATATAAAACCATCACAAAAGCAATAAAAACATATTTGCGTCTCCTAATTAAAACGTTGTCCAATCTCATCATCCGGTCATTCCATATTCCTATGCCTATTACACTGCATTTTCAAAGGCTTGCTCAAACAGCCAAGTTATGGCTCATTTCCGGAATGTTAAGAGAGAGGGGCCAATCTAATGTCCCTAAAAAGAGCATTCCATAGTCCACGGGCCACCACCGAGAAGGCCCTGTCTCTCATCCCCGCCAAATGTATTTGTGACACCGGCAGGATCGAGAGCAGGGCCTCCCCGGATGATCTCCAAGTCCTAGCAGGTTCATCTGCAGTGGAGGAAGGAAGTATTTAGTCAGATACCAATTGTACAAGTTCTCCCACTTAAAAAGATGAGTGAGGCCTGTAATTGACATCTTAAGTAGACCTGTACTATGAGAGACAACTCACACTGTCTGATTTTTAACGAATTTATTTGCAAATTATGGTGGAAAGTAAACTTCCCACACAGAACCCTCATGACCAACAGAAACTACTTAAGGCCATCCAGACCAACTCCCTTCACCAGGGCAAGAAAACGTAAACAAAGCCCTCCTGACAGAGAGCCATCCAGCCATAGATGTAGATAGATAGATAGATAGATAGATAGATAGATAGATAGATAGATAGATAGATAGATAGAGATATGATTCCCACACAGAGAGATATAGTATCCTAGATTGGAAAGGGACCCCTGAAGAAGGACAATGATATGTTGCATGTTCCAGGGTGGGCAAGCCAGACACTCTCCACATCAACACTGGCAAAGAAACAGCAAGAAATACTGTTTTCCCACAAGCAGGAAGACATGACATATATCAGAAACCAACCCTTTCTCATGACTTCATTCTCCAGGTCACCAAAACTGGGCCACAGCAATGCGTGGCAGGGGATGGCTAGTTTGCAAATAAATTTGTTAAGAATCAGACCATGTGTTTTCTCATGTTGTCTCTCCTACTTGAGGTCTACCTGTGATGTCAGTTACAGGCCTCTCTAATCTTTTGAAGTGGGAGAACTTGTACAATTGGCATCTGACTAAATACTCCCCCCCCCCCCCCCGGTACTTGGGACTAACCATGGAATTTAAGTTCCAGGTTGTTGCCACCTGAATCCTATGCATGCTGAATCAAAAAATGCAGGACTCAACACTGGGAAATGCAACCACGCAGACGGACTGAATGCTTATTCTTCTGCCTTTCTCTCATCCTGGGATCCAATGCCATTCTCCACACAACTTACAACACAAAAGTGAAGAGCAACACCAGACGCTGAGAAGGTTCTCCCCAAACACGCCCATGACGGCAGTGGGACCACAAGGAGGTCCTTCCCCAGATACACAGAAACAACCACCACCATCACAACCCCAACAAAGGAGGGAAATGCCACTTACGTCACTGGCTTGAGGAAGAGTGAGCTTTGGTAGTTTACTCTTTGACCCCGGTCCGGTGGCCTTTCCGTCCAGCAGTGTCCCAAAGGACTGGTGTCCGTACACACCGTCCATTTCGAGAGGAGGCTTCAGCTCGGGCGAGTCGTTTGGAACCTGGTCCTGGCCGTCCATGGGCCGGACGTACGCGGTGGGCTTCTGCTGGGTCTTACAGTGAAGCCCAGGAGGGAAGTTCTGGGTGGAGAGGTTGTTGTTGGACGACAACAAAGACGTGGACGGGAGCGGCGATCCAGGCCCGTGGCCCAGAAACTCAAGCTCCACCGGAGATGTGGAGTGGCAGGTTTCTTTGTAGGAGTGGTCCGCCCCGGCCGGCTTCGAATGGTTGTGTCTCCTGGAGTGTGAAGACGAGGGTGTTGTGTTGGCCTCCTCCCCTCCTCCACTTTTGTGCTGCTCGCTTGGGCAGGCGTAGAGGTCCTCGTACCGGCCTGGAGGGGCCTCGTGGGAGGAAGGGCCGTGCTTGGCCCTGCTCTGCTGACCACCGGGCTGGCTTGGCTGGCCGCCATTGGCGTTGTGGCTGCCACGGGGCCAGTCCGTCCGGGACTTCCTGCCGTTTGGGTGGCCGTGCAGCAGCCCTGGGTTGGAGGGCATGGAAGGCGGGGGAGGCATGGAGGCCGAGGCGTGGCCGCTGACCGGGAGAGGCGGGATCATCCGGTTCCGTTGCTCTGGGAAGAAGCTCGGCTCGTTTTTGTCGACTGGGGTCTGCGGCACGGAGTTCTTTGGGATGCCGACAAGGTGACTCTGGTTAGAGTGGTTGGTCAGCAAGTCCTTCATTTCGTCGTAATTCCCCAGCGTATTCTGGACCCGGTTGGCAAGGGCATCGCCTCTGCTCGTCTACAAGAGAAGAAAGGAGACAAGAATTACGAGGGAACACTTCTCTCAATCTGGGCGCTGAAAAGATTAACTGGGAGCAGATTGCTCGCGTTTTGGGAACACTTCCATCTCTACCTGGAGATGCTGGGGGGAGAACGTGGAATCTCCTGCCTACAAAGCCACAGAACAATGGCTTCTCCAATGAGTTGTAGTAATAATAATAATAATAATAATAATAATAATAATAATAACTTTATTTGTACCCCGCTACCATCTCCCCAAGGAACTCAGTGCGGCTTACATGAGGCCGAACCCACAATACAACAATAAACAATAACAACAATAATACAAAACAATAAATAAACTCATAAACTGACCACCTTGATTAGCATTTGATGGCCTGGCAGTGCCTGGAGCAAACTTTTGTTGAGAGGTGATTAGATGGCCTTGTTTGTTTCCTCTCTGTTGTTGTGCTTTTAGAGTTTCTTTTTAATACTGGTAGTCAGATTTTGTTCATTTTCGTGGTTTCCTCCTTTCTGTTGAAATTGTCCACATGCTTCGTGTGTATTTCAATGGCTTCTCTGTGAATGAACAAAATCTGGCACTGTCAGGCCATCAAATGCTAATCAAGGTGGCCAGTTGAAACATTCCCACCTAGCTCCAGCAGACAAGAGTCCTTTGTCCCACCCTGGTCATTAGCCTCGCCTCTACAGTCCTACTTTGGCGGGAAGCCTTAGCATTGAACGGTTGTGTTGTTAAAGTGTGAAGTATGGAACCCTACGCAGTCGGTCAATGCGACTTAAGTAACGTATGCGGCAGGTACTGGCTTGTTCAGTAGCCTCGTCTCTACAGTCCTACTTTGGCAGGAAGCCTTAGCATTGAACAGTTGTATTGTTAAAGTGTGAAGTATGGAACCCTGTGCAGACGGTCGTTCAATGCGACTTAAGTAACGTATGCGGCAGGTACTGGCTTGTTCAGTAGCCTCGTCTCTACAGTCCTACTTTGGCAGGAAGCCTTAGCATTGAACAGTTGTGTTGTTAAAGTGCAAAGTATGGAAGCCTGCACAGCCAGCGGTCAATGCGACTTAAAATCCTATTCCAAGTCTCAGCCCTGGGAATGGCAACGGGATTGTTTCTCTGCTGTTGGTTCTATTACTCTTTAACCACCCTTGGGAACTGGGGGGGGGGGGGGGCCTCAAGTGCTGGATGGGTGAGACACAAAAGGAAGCTGTGGGTCCTCCCATTGCCACAGGTACATAACTAATCAATGCGCTTCTGGTAGGGGCTTACAGCATGTGAAGCCAAGGAGATGCCCTCTCCAGGCGAGGGGATGACGCCTGATTCACGCTGGAAGCAAACGGCTTCAAGTTAAAGCGAAGGCCAAAGAGAGCTTCAGGGGCTTCCTTACCTTGTAGGGTTCTCCAAAAAGATTAAAGCCAGATGCAAAAAGGTCTTCATCCTGTTGAACTTCTTGGTTTCGCCGTTCCCATTCCTTCCTCTTAAGCGCATTCCGATCTTGTTCATAGTGGCTGGAATTTTGGAAAAAGAGAGAGAACGTGTCATTTTTGTGTCTGTCCAACAACGATCATTAGGGGTTTCTTTTTTTAAAAAAATTGCAAATCCCCAATATTGCCCAGCTAGGATTCCAGGTATCTTCATGTGGGAAAATTATTATATAAATGTCATGTTCGTTTGTGGGATTAGCATAACTCAAAAACCATGGGGCGAATTGACACCAAATTTGGACACAAGACACCTCTCAGGCCAACGAGTGACCATCTATATATATAAATCTGAAATGGCGTCGAACGGAGACAGCAAAACTCAAAAAACCCCCAACGAAAATTAACCAAAATTCCCATGCACATACCTCAACCCACTAGGTACAAACAAACCGAATCAAAATGAAAAACAACACAACAACACACTCACAAAACGACAAAACAACTGAGCATGCGCAATGGCGCCCAGCCGCCAGTTCCCCCGCGTGCGCACATGGCCTGCCGGCCAACGCTCCCTCCACGAAGCCCCGCCCCCATCCTCCCTCGCCGCGCAAAGCCGGAGAGCCTAAGTTAGCTTACGTGGAGCCCTTTGCCCATGCTCCCCGTCGGGAAGCAGCAGCGCCGCTGCCGAGTGCCGCAGCCTTCCCTCGGCAGGAAAAAAAGCCCCAGCCGACGGGAGGAGCGCTCCGAGGCGCTGCCTGTGGGACCGTGCTTGGAAAGCTACTGAAGCGAAACACAAGGAACGCTGATTCTGCCGCCGCTCTTCCCTCTTGGCTCTTCCGTCTTCCCTCCCTCCGCCCCCCCCCCCCCCGCTTCTTTCTTGCCTTTTTGGACGACTCCGGCCAGAGGGAGGGACGATGGAAGAGCAGCAAAAGAGGCAAGTGCTGGAGAAGGAAGGGAAGGGAAGGGAAAGGCGGGGGGGGGGGGGGGGGAGAGGAGGGAGGCTCCACAACACAACACAACATCTCACAACAGAAGGAGTGACCATCACTCAAACAATTATGATTTTGTCATTTGGGAGATGTAGTTCCTGGGATTTATAGTTCACCTACAATCAAAGAGCATTCTGGACTCCACTAATGATGGAATTGAACCAAACTTGGCACACAGAACTCCCATGACCAACAGAAAATACTGGAAAGGCTTGGAGGGCATTGACCTTGAGTTTGGGAGTTGTAGTTCACCTACATCCAGACAGCACTGTGGACTCAAACAATGATGGATCCGGACCAAACTTGGCATAAGCATTCAATACGCCCAAATATGAACACAGATGGAGTTTGGGGGAAATAGACCTTGACATTTGAGAGTTGTAGTCACTGGGATTCACAGTTCACCTACACTCAAAGAGCATCCTGAACCCCACCAACAACAGAATTGGGGCAAACTTGCCACACTGAACCCCCATGACCAACAGAAAATACTCAAGTTTACACACAAGCATAAAGAAGGGGGAGGAAGGAGGGATGCGAGAGAGAGAGGGGGGGAAAGGAAGGAGTGTGTGAGAGAGAAAGAGAAGGAAGGAAGAGAGAAGAAAGGAGGAAGTGAGGCCAGGCAGAGACTTCAAAACTCTTACTATAGGCCACAGCAACACGTGGCAGGGCACAGCTAGTCACTCATGAAAACATTGAAAAACACAACAGAAGAGGCTTAAAATGCCAAAAAACAAAAATGCATTACAACACATGCACAAAACCACATATGTACACAAACACACATATATAGAGAAATATATACAGAAACATATACACACATATATGCACACACAAAACACATACACAGAAAGGGGTAAGGAAGGAAGGAAGGAAGGAGAGAGGGAGAGAAAGAGGGAGAGAAGGAAAGAAAGAAAGGTAAAGAAGGAAGGAAGGAGAGAAAGAAATAAAAAAGTGAAAGCGGGAAGGAACGAGAGAAGGAACAAAAGAGAGAAAGAGGGAGGGAAGAAAGGAAAGAGACAAGGAAGGATGGAACCAAAGAGCAAAGGAAGCGAGAAAAGAAACAGGTAGAGAAGGAAGGAAGAAGGGAAAGAGGAAGGGAAAGAAAAAGAGGGAAGGAAAGAAAGAGGGAGGGAAGAAAGGAGGGAAAGAGGGAGAGAAAGAAAGAAGGAGAGAAAGAAGGAGGGAAGAATCATCATGCAAGAAATCCCAAGCATACTGCTTTCCAGGCTAAGATTATTCCATGAAGCTTGCAGGCTAGTAAGCTACGTTGAACTGACGCTTTCACAGAGTTTGCAGGAGGCCTAAATACCTTTCTAACATCAAAACATTGGGCTCTCAGCATCATAAAAGCATTGCGACGACCTTTCACCGAGCTAGCCTCCCATCTGCTTGCTAGATGCGAACTCCACCTGACCCAGAGATCAAGGCGAGCTTCTCAGGTCAAGTCACTATCTACACTTTCGGTATCATCGTGGGAAGGCACTTGCTCGCTATCTCCTTCGCTAAAATTCCTTTCTGGTGAAAACAGCTGTGTTGACACTGCACTGTCTGTGAGAGCCTCAGAAGCAGGCTCAGAGATTTGAGGCACAGACAAAGAGCCAGGAAGCTGAAACCCAGCAGGAATCTGAATCCCATCATCCTCATCGTCAGAAAATAGCTCAGCCACAACACTGGCTTTGAATGTTTGCCATGTATATGTACATTGTAATCCGCCCTGTGTCCCTGCGGGGTGAGAAGGGTGGAATATAAATACTGTAAATAAATAAAAATAAATTTAGGTACCCACATAAGTGGTACCTAAATTTCCTACTTGACAGATGCAAAGGTTGACAGGAAACTACACAAATTGGTTGGAAGCTCACTCCGACCTGGGCTGGCTTTGAACTCATGACGTTCCGGTCAGTAGTGATCTTAATGCAGCTGACCCCCATTGATGGGTTTCCCCCATTGAGTCACATGGCTTCTTTCTTAAAAACAGGCATGTAAACGGAACACGCGTGCCTTTGGGAGCTGTGCGTTTGTGGCATTTTCCCAAGAGAAATGGACGCACCCGGAACACTTCCGCAAGAGTTTTGCTTTAAGGGAGGAAGAGGAGGAGGAGGCGGAGGAGGAGGATCACTTTTATTATGACTCCTTTGTGTGTTTAATTAAATTCCCGCATTCTAATCCCATCTGACATAAATCATTACTAAAACATAATTATATAGTAAATAAGCACTATAGCATTTACTATCTTCTGGTAGGTTAAAAAAAGATTAATAAAAATCAAGCTTGATAATTGCTCAAATCAATGAGCGTAATTATAGCCTGGCCTTCTAGGTAGTGGAGAGAGGAAACCAACGGCAACAGAGACTGCAAATCAGCATTTTTAATTGTTGTGTTGACAAGTCTCAGCGATCCTTTGTTTTGGAAGAGAAAACAAATGGAAAACTTGATTTCCATGCTTGGATTTGATACATCAATGCGTCCTCCTGTTGCGCTGGAAAATTGCAACATGTCTGAGTCAATTTCAATTGGAAGACCCGAACCCTGAGGGTTATCTAAACCAGCCCTATAATCCAAAGTGGACCAAAAGTTCCTCCCAGATGTCCACATGATGTCCAGAGGCTCCTGGCACTTAACACAGCATATGCTGAGCTGAATAGGTTTCAACCTTGAATTAAGCAAAGTCAGGGGATGTGTTGGGACTCAGCCTATGCTTGAGCCTGTGAATGTGTTTCAGTCTCCTGATGTTTCTGTGTCCGATGTGGGTAATGAGGAGGGAAATCAGTCCCCTGTTGCTTCTGATGTGGGGGAGGCTGGGACTGAGGATGAGAGATGGAGACACTTTAGTCAATGAGTTCCATGCAGACACTGACAGAGAGGCTTTGGTGCAAAGGGCAGATTCTCATGAGAATGTTTCTGTCAGGCCTTGGGAGAAAGGTTTACTCCCTCCGCCTGTGAGCTCTCCACATTCCAGTTTGGAAAACAGTCTCACACTTGGTAAAGTTAATGAGGAGTCAGGTAAGCAGAGTCGGCGGCTGGAGATTAGCCAGAATCGACAAGAGACTCAATGTTTACGTAGATCCGAAAGAATTAGTCAATTAAAGTCGAAGACTGGGGAAAATGGAACCAGTTCTTGGGATTTAAGGTTTGCCTTTAGAGAATCTTGTCAGAGCAGGCATCGTTTGGAAACCAAGGACAAGCCTCATGGAATTCCTGTTCAAGTGATCTCGTTTTTATGGTTTTTTCTAGTCTTTCAACTTGACTAGCAGAATCTGGTCTGTTCTTGCTTCTTGGTTGATTCCTGTATGGATTATCAGTGCCTTGGAATATTATTTTATGCTTTTTGAACATTGCTTTTGAATGCTATGTTTGGATGCTATATCTTCATGCTGCCTTCGAATGCCTTATTGCCTTTTAGAATCTTATCTATCTTTACAAGCATTTATTTCTACTGGCTTTTTGGCTAAGCTTTAATAAAAAGGATTGTTCCTTCACTCAACGTGTGGTGTGTTTATAGTCAGAGGGGCCATTTCCTGTTCTGGAGTGCAACAGGATGCTCCAGAATTTCACTGGACTCCAGATCAACCCTGCACCGGGGGCAGAGTGGGCAGCAGCCTGGCTCAAAGCTGGACTGGTTTCTGTCCACACAGGCTGGTGCCACCACTCCCTTTTCGCTGTGCTCGACTTTCCCTAGACGCAGGCCTACCTTTGCAGTCACTTGGTGGCCACCAGGAGCTCCCTGCCTGGAGGGCTCTGACCTTCTGAAGTAGTGACAGGAAAGATAAGAGTAGCTGTCCAGATGGGCCAGTTTAGGTTTGGCGTGGCTGGGCAATCTGGGTTCTGCTGCAGGTCAGGTGCAGTGCAATTGAAGGGAGATGTTGACTCTAAGATGGAATGTGTCCAGAGGAGGGCTTGTTCTCCAGACCCTTGATCATTTTAGATTCCTGCAAACAACAACAACAACCCTTCTCTAATTCCGTCCGGGCCTCCCCAGCGACTGCCCGGCCATGGGTCTGGGACTGTAAGAGCTACAGAGAGAATCTTGGAGGGAATGAGACGGGCACTCTCCAGGGTCCCCTTCGCAGAGGCTCCACGCTATGCCCCGCG